TCTGTCATCTTGGCTTGAAGCAGACAGGGGCCGTGTTCAATGTACTTGAAAAGATGCTTTGCTTGCACTTTTTGCTGCTACTTCTATATCCACTGTATGATTGAGTCTTATGTATAATACATACAACCATTGCATATTTGTAAAACCATTTTTCAGTGTCTAAACACACACAAAGCACCTGAAAAATGTTTCTGCTGACATAAGATACTCTTTGGATACAAAAAGAAAACTATAACTTCATTTTTAATCAAACTTTCTCCTCAGGAGAAAAAAAATAATCTGAAGGTTAAGAATATATCCAATTTTAATTTGGCTTTTTTTTAATATGGAGTGGTAATTAGTATTTCCACAACTACTCTTAGTGTTGTTGTTTTGAAGGACTGAGTAATTTCCTTCTTATTATACACAAAAATCTTCAGGTAGGAATTGCAAAGGCAGGTACAGGGCTTCTATCATCAGATGCTATTTACCAGAGCAAGACTTAGAGGAAGCATTTTTCTGGCCCATCGTTTACCAAACTTTTCTTATTACTTAATTTTTGTCGGATGAGCCCAGAAATGATGGGAGAATGATATTAACTCAACAAAAAAACATAAACCTTGAACTTAAAAGCTGGCACACCTTAAAGAAAGAATTGAGAAGTGGCTAAGAGAAATCAGAGCCATCAGTGGCAGCTGTGCTAAAATAAACCAAACCATTACAAGCACTGCATCAGAGAAGCTTGTATTTGATTTTTTTTTTAACCTCTCAGACCCACACAGCTCATGAGGGCACACTCGTTCCTCTGTTAACTTCTCTGTACTGCTTTTGCTATCTAGAAACCTGACCTTCAGACCTTTTTAATCTGAAGTATGACTTAGTGATGCCACGTTAGTATACTGGCCTTGTTTCTCATATTGTGCCTAGCATTATACAAACACAAATCTTCCGAGTGCTCTCACTCCTCAGGTCTTTCAAATGAAATTGAACACAGACTTTGTTTAGAAGGTTATCTTTAAAATTATACACAATAAATCTAAGACTGGTAAAAACCTATTTTAAAAGCTCATCCTCACATTTCATCTCCACCAGCACAAATCAAAGGATGGGGCTCGTTGACTGCTTCAGACTAGCGACATTCCCTTTCACAGCCATGGTATAAAAGCCTGATCTAGTGGCATTTCTAGAATTAATGAGGCCAACCCAAAGACATGGACCACAAGCACTTCATAATTTCCTTCTGAACCCCGAATCTGAGCTATCATTTCCTTCCTAACATTAATTCCTCATTTATGTCCATCCCCTGCATCTGTACAGCTACTGAGGAGGGAAATAATCTTTTTTCCCATCGTAAATCATGCAGATGTGCTTATCAAGCCTAAACAGAGACTCAGGATCGTTTAGGAGACTGAAGAGCTAAAAATAATTTTTAAATGTCAGAAGAACATAAATATTCCAAAGGTTTCTCAAGATATAAATTAATCAAACATATTTATGATAATGTAAAATTAAGAAATAAAAGGTCCCATATGTCTTAGCAATTTCTAAAGACTGAATTTTATAGTGATTTAGTCATCCAACCTCATATACTGCCAAGCAATGGATCATTAGCACAACTGCAGTCAATGAGACCACTGTGCTGCTGACTTTGAAAATCTGGGGAGGCACCTACCCACAGCAGTGTTCAACATGCTGCTCTGCCCAGGAAGGTCCCCTCACACCTTTCCCACGCCACCACCTTGCTTTCTCCTCTCTCTCATCCTTCTTTGTACTCTTCCCTTCTCTGGGCTGTAAATCTCATGCTGCCGTATGGTCTTTGTTCTCTGCTAGATCTGTTTTCTGTCTCACAGCATGCTCAGATGCCTACTGTCCCCAGTGTCTTGTCTTCCTTGCCTATGTAAGTCCACAAGCTGCCACCTTCCTGGTTTTCTTAATCTTTGTCATGCTGCCTCTTAGGATAACCATTTCCCCCTCAAATTCATAAGGGCAAGTCAGATTCTGTCCCCAAAGGCTACTCTGCTCAAAAAATCCATCCCTCTCAAAAACTCCCCTGGCGAAATGACCACTCTTTTGCCTTGCCTCCTTGTGGTTCAAATGTTGCCCCATGCCCTGCCACAAGGGAGGTGTTTGGAGACCCTGGGCACAGTGACAGTCGTGCCTCCTGCTCACCCCTCCAGCCCTTCCTACTGGGGAGCAGGTTGACTCTTGCTGTCTGTTGTGGGATGGGAAGGAGATAGCTCAGCAAGACCCCATATCCCAAATGTGTCACTTTTTGTGCAGCCAGAGGATGAGAAACAGACTACAAACCAGAATGTGCAAATAAGCAGAGTAAAACTGTCATCAAAAGAATTCTCTCATTCTTGGAGCGTTCAACAGGATGTAAAAAAACCATGTGGCTGTAGTTTATGCAAAACGAATATCAAGAAGCAAATCAGCATTAGCACACTACAATATTGGATAACAGCTGTCTTTTTTTCTGTTGAATGATTATTTATTGCTTAGATACTGTTATAAATGTAGACTTGTAAAACTGTCATGAAAATTTATATGTGCAAGCCCACCACATTTTTCCCCAACATTGCAAGGGCCATAAAGAAGTAGAAATAAAAACACGCTAGTAATAGTCAATGAAAAAACATACATACACATGTCTGGGAGATGTAAACATTTTCCTATCCTCTGTAAATGCAGATAACTATTTGTAAATATATACAGAAAAGTAACATAGTTGCCCCGAAGACCAGGCCTAAGTAACAATGTATCAGTTGAAGGAGACATAAAAATATAAACGTTGGAAAAGAGTTTGAGGAAGCACAGCAAATGCTCTCTGTGCACAAAACAGGACCCTGTCTCCCGCAGCAAGCTGCTGAAGTCCAAACTCGCAGCCTGGCATAGAAAGAAGAGACCTAATCGTGGGAGAGTGAGAGACAGCTGAGACAGACAGCAGACACCTACCCCATCACAGGGAACCCATGGTAATGAACCCATGACAAAGCCACATTTTTAAGCCAGGCAGGATGTGCTATGATTCTCCAGAACATTTTTGCCCAGGAAAAACAACATAAAAAAGGGAATTGGGTGGGGTACAAAACTTTATTAAAGCAAATGCTTTTTGAAATAAAAATCTAATCCAACCAGAAGTCTATGCCATGAATTGTTTCACACACGTGTGCCTGTTTGTTTCAGGTTCATTTTTTTCTTTCCAGTCATTGCCATTTGGTTACAAGAACATAGTGCTCTGGAAGCCATTCCTCTGCAGTGATAGTTCACAGCAAGGCTCATCATGCAGCACAGCTTGAAACACGAGCTTCCTCTGTTGGTAAAGTCTCTAGCATTTATCTGCAACACTAAAGGGAAAAAAACCCCCAATCAACAAACCAAAAAAAGCACCCAAGGCAGCCTTCACACACTGCAGAGCACCAGAAACCTGCTCTGCCCCACCAGGCACATGCTATGGCTATCAGGCCCTCCGCTGTTTTCCTTACAGATCTTCCCCTCCCTGGGTGGTGAGACTGCTCATCCTTGCAGATGGCAAACTGGCCACAGAACTGAGAGACACATGATATGTGTATCTGTTGTGGGAAGTCTCACTGGCTCTCTGATCTTTCAGGGCAGGTGTGCCAATGGAAAAGGTCCAGCAAAATTTGGCCACCAAAATTACATCCTCATCCGAGGTATAGTGTCATATGTGGTTTGATTCAAAGCAAAATCCAGTGCAAAGCCAGGCCTTTGGAGAACACCTGTAGGGGAGCCCAAGGCAATAACCCTCTAAAGCCAAAGAGAAAGCAGGTATTTGCAGGAAACCAAATAATACTGAGAGACCTGCCCTGTGGGCAAAGACAAGGAAAGTGGCTATCAAAAAATCCAAGGAATATCTGACAATCTCCTGCTGTGATGTGATGGTACTTCATCTGTCATGAGGGCACTTCATCTGTCATGAGGGCTGCCAGCAAGAAGTTAAGCCCAGGAAGTATTTTGTGCACACTTAAATCCAATAGTGAGTTGAGATCAGCAAAGCATTGGTCTAATCTGGCTGCAGAAGCCCCATAACCTGACTGATGAGTACTAAATATACGCTCAAAAACACCCCCGACATCCTCCTTTTTCTTCTTGAAACAACCCCGCCCCGCCCCGCCCCGCCCGCCGGGAAGGGGTGCGGCTGCGCGCATGGCGCGGTGACGTCAACGCCCTCTGCCGCTGTGCTACGTGGCTTTGGCCTGGTAGAGCAACCGGTAAGGGCTGCGCGGGGCTCCGCGCTTGCCTCTCTGCCTGAGGGGACCGGGGATGGGGGGGCTGTGGTACCCGAGAAGAGAACCCCGGGCCCGACCTCTCCTGGGGAGGGGGTTGCGAGGACTGAGGGCCCCCTTGGAGCGAGGTCGTCGGCCCGTGTTGCGCGTACCGCGGGAGTGGGGGAAGCTGGGGGAGCCTGGCCTCAGCCGCAGGGACAAGAAGGGAGGCGCAGGGGCACTTGGGCAGGAGAGAGTCTGATGTGAGGGACCTCGGTATCGGAGGGTCTATGCCGATGAATGGCCGAAGGGCCCTCTGGCTTGGCGTCCCGCGTGGGGTGGCAGCGCTGGCAGATGCTTGTTTTGAGAATAAAATGAGGCCAGGGTATTTTTGAAGGGCTCGCCAGCCCTCCACCAGCTTTTGGCTTAGGGCTTTCTTGAAAGGTATGACTTCTGCGTGTTTGGAAGTCTTGAGTAGTTTTCTCAGAAGTGCAGTGTAGGGCATAAGCCGAAAGCAGACTGTGATGGAGCTGTTGTTTTCCTCTTTGCTGAAAGGCAAATTTTTTTTGTATTTTTTGTAGGTAGTGGTAGGTCATTGTGTTCATATATTTACACAATGTCTTGATTTTCTGTAAAAAGAGGTATCTTTTAAACTTCAGTTAGATTGGAGTATGACATTTTAAGTTATCGTCTTTACAAATTTTGTAATGCTCCTTCTACTTCTGTAATTAAAATATATCTCTTTCAGTAAATAACATGGCACCACCAATACTAAATCCATTCATCTTTGCAGGTAATCATGGATCAGGTAATGCAATTCGTGGAACCCAGTCGTCAGTTTGTAAAAGACTCCATACGACTTGTTAAAAGATGCACCAAGCCTGACAGGAAAGGTAAAGCATACAATAAAACGGAACATAATTCTTATTTCATCTTATATTTTACCATGTATCTTTCAATATGTGACTTATTTATCATTAATGTTTCTCAGCTTCCAATATGAGATTTAAACTTGAGCACTTGTGTCCAGCTGTTCATGGGTTTATCGTTCTGGTTATAATAAACTTGAATGTGTCCTTTTCTGGTATGTACTCAATCAGGCATGTGAGAGTGGTACTAAAACTTGCTTTATGAGATAGACTACGTCGCTGAAACTATACCTTTTGAGATAGGCAAGTAATAGTTTTCATGTATTATGTAAACTGATCTGAGAAGAACTTGTGTGCGCTTTGAAAAGACAAATGCAGTAGTCAAGTCTGACTGATTGCAGTCAACTTAGGGGAAATTCTGGAGGAAACTGCTTGTTACATGACCTGTAGGAAACACTTTATTTTAGGAGATTCGAAAGGAGCTCAGATTGCTTTTTGCAGTGCCCATTCAGAGTTGTCAGTGACTGCTTGATTGAGACAGGAAGAACTTTGTTAGTGGATGTATAAAAGAGAACAGTTTTGGACTTTCTCAAAGTCATTAGAGAGAAGCTGTAACTATAACCAGAATGTAGCTAGTTGTCCTTGATGGTAGTAGTTACGATACTTTATTCACTTGCTCAGGATGAAGTTTACTGACATCTTTGGAGATCAGTAAGGAATTTCATTAATTGGCAGACTGGCAGGGTTGCGAGACCCTGTAGACCTTCTTAGACCACTTCATGGCTGTTGTCTTGAAAGAATTGAGAATGTTGCTTAAATATGCAATTCTTGCAGGAGCTTAAGATTCTGGCTTCCTGTGGCAGACATAAATGCAGCTTTTCCATTTTTGATACTGTATTGAGGATTACTTTCAGGGCTTGTTGCAATATGAAGGAAGGATAATGGTATAAATGTTTCATGAATTGTTACAGAGTGAGGATATTTCTGATTCTGCCTATTATTTAAAAATACTGAGATCAGGTTCGTGTTATGAAAAGCAGCTTCTTCTCTCTTTAAAACTCATCTGTCTTCTGAAAAAGCAGATCTGTTTCTCAATGTCAATGCAGTTCACTTTTGATCTGCTTTCTTTGTTAACATTACCATTTTCTAAAGACCAAGATCTCTCCCTTGGTCACTGTAGTGCACATCTGTATGCCAGACACAAGGGTTCCTAGACTAAAATTATTTTTTGTTTTTACAGAGTTCCAGAAGATTGCCATGGCAACAGCAATAGGCTTTGCAATAATGGGATTTATTGGTTTCTTTGTCAAATTGATCCATATCCCAATCAACAATATCATTGTGTAAGTAAATGTCACTAAATTTTACATTCATTTTTACCTGCTCACTTTTAAACAGAGGGTGTTAGTGAGCTCTACAGGAGGCACATTGCTTTAATATCAGTGCATTTCACATGTTAGTGTAATATGACAGGTATGGCTTGATTCAAATGCATTAACTGCATTCTGTGAAATACCTTTTGGAATGAATGTTGCAGCATGAGAACTTCAACTTTAAGTTGACTGGCAGCTATGGCACCGATACAAAAATGCTACCAATTAAAACTCAGGTTTTCTAGAGCTGATGTAATCCCTTTTCTAGCACTGGAACAGGTTAAATACTATTCCATGACCATGATGCGGGGCTTGTGGGGACCAGTAAGAGTGGTCCTCTAGTTAAGAAGAAATGTTTGAAAATAGAAGATAATCTGTAGAGGTAGTAATGTTTGTCCTAGCAAGGTAATGGTGGGAGGATAAATTAGACTTCAGATGGGATCCCTTGATCACACTTTATTAGTTGAAACTGATTACTTTGCTCTCTCAACAGAGGCGGCTGAATATTCATCGTGAGGAACAAGACATTGTGACACTTGCTGCAAAGATTTCACAGTGTTGTAACTTGTTTGCTATTAAACAAGCTCAGTTTATGTCCAAACATTCATGTCATCTTACTCCTTTTTTAAAGTGTATGTGATCATACCTGTCTACATTGAGGGCTTTTTTTTTCAGTAGCAGTAGAATATTGTTTTGTTTTGTGGCTTCTTTAAACCCTAATTGAATCAGGTAGGAAGGAACCTTGGGAGGTCTCAAGTCCAACCTTCTGCTCCAAGCTGGGTTAGTGTTGCATTCTGACAACAAGGCCGCTTAGAGCTTTGTCCAGTTGGGTATTGAAAACCCCAAGGGTGACAACTGTATGGTATGTGCTGTTCCAGCGCTTAATTTCCTGCTTAGTCAACAGGATTGTTCTAGCAAAAGCAGGCAGCAAGAAAACAGCATTACTCTAGCCTCTCAAGTGGTGATGTAAAACTCTATCAACTGAAATTCTTGTTGCTAATCTCTGGAACCACCATCATTACCCCCAATTCCTCTCTGCATTTGGAAGTCCTGTCAGGTTATATTATGTACCTGACTAGGAAAAAAACCTCCCATCACATAAAGAACTTGCATTGCCAGTTCTTATTCTGATGGCATGATTAAGCAAGCCAAACTTAGTAGGTTACTACGATGCACAGTTTGGGGTAAATTTAATTGTCACAGATGCTAAGCAGTCCTTCAGCAAATCAACAGCTTGCTCACACTGTTGGATAGGATATACACCTGTTTTGGATACTGGTTCTGTAAGGTAACTGCATATAGAATTATAAAGGGCTCTGCATTTGTTGACCTGAATCATTATTAAATGATTGGCTATTTTGATCTTAGAAACTAAGCCTGCAAAAACTGGTAGATGCAATGCTCTTCTTCCTCAGATTGAGATTAAGAAATTTATATTTCACTCCAAAAAGCTAACTGTAAGCATTTGGTATTTGCAGAAGTTACATTGGTACTTCTATTACAGACTTTAAATGCACTTAATACTGGGAAATCTGATACTGGTATTACAGCAAAAGTGAAGCTTTTTCAGTACACAAACTTGCTTCATAAGTAGAAAAGATCAAATATTATGCTTGGTGAGAAATCTTCACCATCACCTACATATGTTACAACCCAGGACAGAAAAATGAGATTAACTGCTCTTAGTGCTATCACCTTTTTATATAGTCATACTATATGCAGCTGTGTACTGTATTTCCTTTTGGCAAAAGAGGAAAAAAATAGTTCAGTATTGGAATAAAATGCTTTGTAAAAATAGTCTGAACTAACCAGCAGCAGTTTCTTTACATTCACTTCTGTTTGTGATTGTGTTGGGTGGCAGCTCATGTGTCTTCTGATTAAGTACTGTGAGGTACCAGGATGGAGCACTCAGTTATTGCTACTAATCTTGATTTGATCTCAAGTGACTTCTATTTCAGACTTGTTTTCCATTCAGTACATAAAATCAGTGCCTGCTTATATCTTTCAGAACAGCTTTACTGTCTTAATTCAGTGAGAGTTTGCAGTACTTTGAGTTGAGTCAGATCAGGAGAGGCAGCTGTAGCTGATCTTATTTTTTGATGGCCATTGTCCACAGCAAAGGCTTGTCTGTCTCGATGGTCACAATCCCGGAGTTGTCATAGGTGTTGGAAGTACTGACGAGTGTTCCGAACTTCAGCACCTGGTTAGCTGTGAAAAGTAAGTGAGAGACTTAGTGATACTCTTGAAACAAGTGCATTGATGTGCATTTATTTTTGTAAAGGCTGCTGTTTCCATAAAGAAGGAAAAACAGCTGAGTAAATCTAACCCAGATAAACAACATCTAAAATAGCTATGTTAAATATTAATCAGAAGGCTTCTATGAGACTATCCAATGACCTGTAGAAGAAATAAATTAATACTTAATCTCCAAATTAGCATTTTGGATTTACAGCAGATTATTACAAAAGCAGATTGTTGAATGCTTTCCACAGTTTCACATCTGGAAATTTGTATTTCATTAGCATCAGCTCAAGTGCCAGTGCCAGTCAATGTATTTAAAGTAAAATGAGGCAGAGGATCTTACTGTAGTTCCAAATGTGGGATTTGCTTTAGCTCAGCAGCAAGCCTATAATCTCCTAAAATGTGAAGAGTTCTAGAGCAAAGGCCAGCAGTTGAAAGTGGTATTACTTAACAACTGTCACTTTGAAGTAAAAGTGACTTGCATCTTTTATTCTATGGCATGCCTAGTGAGGCAGGTGTTTTAGAAACCAAGTGGCATTACTTTAACAAATAGGTAGTGTCAATTTTAGGAGAGTTTAACTCGGCCAACAGTGCAGTTGTAATGATAATTTTGAAATACCCATGAAGTCTTAACCATTCTGTATTGTTTCATCTGATAAGTTTTAAGGGTTACATAGACTTCCTACAAGTTGAGATCAAAGAAAAAATGCTGTGTAACTTTTATCTTCCATTTCCTCCCTTTTGGAGAGAGCATTGCTTGAATTTTGCCAATGTGAACTTCCCTAAAGGTACTCTAATCCTAGTCAGTGTGTTAGTCCTTGCTCGTGTAAAGGTTCAGAGTAAGAACTGACTGTCCTTCATTTTGGTCTGTAAAACAAGCCAAATGACAGATCTTATTCACTGGTGCCACAGAAGGTTACTTTTCTATGAAGGACATGAGGAGAGCTGCAGCTGGGGAGAATAGTTCAGGCAGATCAGCAAGTCTGTGTGACCTGTCAGAATTGCCAAATCATGCGTTACTTCGGAGGGAGGAATCCTCTGGATTTGCTACCAAGCGGGCCACTGCAAATGGAGATCTCCTCGTGATCAAGAGGTCTGCAAAACAACACATTTAACTCGTATTTTGTGATTTGCACAGGGGACAATTAGTCCAATTGTGGATGTGAGCATGGCTATAGTAAACTTGCGTGTAGTAATGTATTATTACAATGTATGTTACACTGTCTATCCATTGCTGGAAGCTGCACAGGAGGAATTGATCTTGCCAGGCTATATGGCTTGAAAATGAGAGACAGTCTGACAAAAGGCAGGACACACAATGTGGTTCAGTTGTCTCTTCTGCCAAATCTGTGCTTGCTGCTACTTTTTCCAGCTCCCACTCTGGTTTGTAGTCTGAAACGAACTGAAGAGGTTTCAGCTGCCAGCCGTGTTTGGTTCAAATGAGAGAACACCACCCAGATTTCACTATTGCATTGAACTGAAGAGTCCTGCCATTTGAATCTCTCAGGAATTTGGAGCATAACTGCAATGCAGTGCAGAAATTCAGTATGGATGGGGGAGAAAAAAACCCCAAAACTACTGTGCTAGATCATAGAATCATCGAATGTATGAGGTTGAAACGGACCTTTAAAGACAACCTAGTCCACCCCCTGTGCGGTGAGCAGGGACAATGTTACCAGATCAGGTTGCTCAAAGCCTCATCAAGCCTGACCTTGAATATCTCCAGGGATGGGACCTCCACCACCTCTATGGGCAACCTGTTCCAGTGATCTACCACCCTCATATTCAAATACTTTTTCCTAATATCCAACCTAAATCTACCTTTTTCTAGTTTAAAACCATTATCCCTCATCCTATTGCTACATGTCCCAGTGAACAGCTCTTCCCCAGATTTCTTATAGGCACCTTTCAGGTATTGAAAGGTCGCTTTAAGATCAATTATGTAACTAACATAAAGGTGCTAGATTCTATCAGGATGATTTTGGGCACACAGCAGTGCTAGGCAGGCTCCTAGACAAGTGCCAGGATGAATGAATTTTGGTGTTTGCCTTCAGAAGAGAGAATCCAGGCTGATGCACTGGGCTGAGTTGCCAGAGAACCCAGATTTCACACTTTGCAGATAAACCGGTCACTTAATGAAGATAAGGTAACACATGGGCAGAGTTCCTTCTGTAAAAATACTCCCACAATACTATTTGTAAGTGTTCTGATGTCTTGAATGTTCCAGTCAGTTTTAAGTAGGAAAGAACATTAAATAGTTTAAAATATTTCTTAACACACAAATTATCCATTTTTGGTTATATATATACTGAAGCTTGAAGGGGGGGAGGAAGAACTTTGTGGATCCATTCTTCTGTATAAGCCCACTTATTTAGTATCATTTATTGCTTCTTGCTCAAGAAAGTCAGAATAATTCTTAATGTTTCAGCTTTGCATATGAAATGATGGCTCTGTAGAAGGCAAGATTTTAGAACAACATGGCAGCTTAATGAAACAAAATCTGAAGCAGTATTTCTTCAGGCATAAAATTAAGTGAAAATCTTGCCCTTTTTTCTCTTTAAATAAAAACTTCTTGTCCACTAGGTGGAGCCTTTTATCTTTCTCTGTCAGAGTTTCTTTTGTGCAAGGATCACAGTTTGAAATGCTGAAGTGAAAAAATGGAAAAACTATAAAACAGTGCTGCTGATTCACGTGGCTCAAATGGACCAATTCCAAGCACTTGGCTTTGCAACCAGCCAACATTTTGACTAACATAATTAAAAATGCATGCTTTCCATTCAATAAATGAACAGTAATTAATGTGAAAAACTAGGTTTAAGCCAGTAAAGGAAGGAAGAGGATGTACATACCTACTGCTTCTAGGAAACCTTCCTGCTGTGTCATGCATTATGATGTGAATTTTATAAGGTCAAAGAAGCGGAAAGTTTTATCAGTTCATACCTGATCCATTCCCTTTTTTTTTTAAATGAATTTCAGTCTTTTTTGGTAAATCCTAGAAAGAGCTTATGCCTTGGGGAAAAAACAATTGCAAACACCCCCCATTATTAAGATTATTTTTCTGAAGTGCATTCAAAAAACCCTAACTTTTTTATTTTCTAGCATTTAGTATTAATATTTTGATAGATACCAAAAATATTTTAATAAAGCATTTCACACTGATTAAAAAAAATCTTGAAGGATTTTTAGAATTCTCTAAAAGAAATTTTATTCTGGATCACTGAAAATTTTCTTTTAGACAAAAGGTAGTCTTTTGTTTTTCACGAGAACCTTCAAGAGCTGATTTGGATAAAACCAGAAGTGATTCATCAAAGCAACCCCTCCTCTTCCAGCAGCATCTTTTTCCCCATAAAGTTTTGCTTAGTGCTTTGGTTCCAATCAAATTTTGTTTGCTGATAATAGGCTGTTGTTGAGAAAAATACTCTACCCAGCCTCTCCAGGGTAGCTATAGTAATTTTTCATGACTCTCCATCTATAAGAGAGCATATCTTGGTAGCACTGAGCCTAGGTGGCCATGCCTTCAAAGAAAGCTGTGGAGGTCATGAGTGTGTACATGAGAAGGTAACTACGTAGTAGTTCTGTGGTATGGTTTTAAAGGCTGACAACTCTGGACTTCAGAAATAAAAGCAAATGCTATTCCTGCCTGTTGAGAGGTGGGGGGGAAAAGGAAGAAACAACCAAACCTATTATGAGACAGCTTTTTATGGTGTGCCCTATGTTTTCACTGATAACAAAAGAGTCTCATTTCTGTCTGATGAATTGCAACGTATCACTAACTCATACCTAAACATCATCATGGGCAAGGCTTATTTTGATGTGGTAGTGGAGGAATGCTTTCTAGCAGTTTTTATTTTGTTTAGCAGGTGGTTGAATTGAATCAAGGTTTTGAGAATGTTGGAAACAATATTGAGAAAAAATCTTGTAGGGCTTGTAGGTGAGCTTCCCAAAGAAGCATAATCACAAAGATCATTATTTCTTGGACATCCCTTTTGCTGACCTAATTACATGACAAAGGAGGTCTCATTAACCCTAAGACTGTTCATTTCCACTATTTTATTGCTCGTCTTTTGATACTTTTTAAAAAAATACACAATTCTAAGGATGCCATGTGGAAAATGTTAATCTTGGATATATGACTTTGAAAATCAATGATCTTATAGTTGCTAGAACAACAGCTGTAAATGTGAACCAAATGCACCCTATAAGTAATCAAGCCAAATTAAAAAAACATAAAACACAAAAAAGCCCAAACCTAAAAATTTATTTTAAACACTGTTACCATATTTTTATGCCTACCATGGCTGAGAGGTTTCTTTTTTTTAGTTGATGGTACTGAAAATGAGACCTAAGCCTTGCTTGCAATGTGTTCAGTGTTGAACTGCAAGCTTTCTGCCTAGTAACTGAGAGATAATGTGGCCTAATTATAACTAGATTGGGTCTTGTCATGTTAGATGCTGCAAAAACACTAACTCTCGAGATCAGGTTACTCCTCTTAATAGCTGTATTCATGGACTAGTAGACTTATAAACATTATTTCTATGACTTCATTGTACTATTTAAGATACTTGAAGTTCAGTCCAGCAGAAGAGAGCCTATATCAAAGTCCCATGTACATCTTAAAAGCTACACTTAAGCAGGGCTTCAGGGAGACATATACAGAGAAAAAATTTCTTCTTAAGCGTATCATATATGGCAAAAGCAAATTATGTCATTAATTTGAAAGGCTTAATAGAAAAAGTAGGCCCTCTGGTTATTCTTACATCTATACCGAAAACACAGCAAAGTCTGGACAGTAGAGAAAGAGGCTTTTAAATGAAGTATCTAATGGTCATGCTTGGAACAGGAGTTTATGAGGGGCAAGTCCTTCCTTACCAAGGAGTAGATTTAGTGAAGGAAGTGATTTTGGTGTGAGAATAGCCGAACAGTCACGCTTTATGTCCTTTATGCAAAGACATTTAGGCAAATAGAAG